AACTCGGCATCATCACCAATCTGCACTTCCTCTCCACAGTGGGCGTCCGCCCCCATCATTTGGTGGTAGATGCCACGGTAAGAGCATCAGATGTGTCCGTAGCGCCTCGGGAGCGCGACGTAGCAGGCCTGTTTGCCAACAACATGAGCTCCAACTGGGCACAGGCGTACTCATCATCTGTACAGTTGATGCAGCAGGAATTTTATTCGGATGACCTCCGCTTTACCGAAGCAAGAACATCCTGGGCACAAATCGCGCAGTCAGCTAGGTCCGCGTTGCAGCTATGAGAGACCGCAAAGTAGCAAAGGAGTTACTCCCTGCCAAATTCGAGGAGTTGCTCCCAGTCAGATGTGAATGCCTGACCGACACAGAATTTTCAATCAGCTCGACTTGCCATCAGCCTATGCAGCGAAAATGTAGATGTGCAACTTGTCCTACTCCCTTCTTTAGTCAATCAAGGCGTTAACCTCAATTGCCAGGAGACTCACACCAATAACTTCAAGCGTGGCTCTCAGCATACAGCCTTACTGCCTTAGGATTCTCTGCCTTATTGCGTTGTCTAACATTTGCAAGTCAAATAATTACGCTTGATCGGCATCTATTCAGCATCTTGACTCTCGAGAACAGGGGGTTAGCGTGCGCTGTCAGCTAGAGGTATTCTGGTCATGCATACAGCACTGCTGATCTCTACTCTTGCAGTAGCCATGGCAGGGATTCGCCCGGAATCGAATGAACAAACCGATGAGGGGCGAGGTCCATTATATAATAATCAGGAGGCGCTGTGTACAACGATGGAAGCTATGATCGGAGCTAGGACGATAAGCGGAGCATCAATAGTTACGGAACAAGAATGTGTTGCCTCCCCTGGTCAGCTCAGAGGTCTTCCACTGCATATTATGCAAGAGCAGCCCTCAGGCTCGGCTTCTTCCTCACCTCTGCAGATACCTTCAGTGGATCCTCAGTACTCAACAAGCTGCAGAGCAGAAGACAGGGAGTCAAAATCAGAAGACTCCACGCCTGTTCGCTTGAACAGAGACAGAAGTCGAACTCCGCCTGGAGCTCCAAGACCAAAACCAAGGACATCAAGAACTATGGCAAGTGCAACTTCTCCCCAGGACCAGCTTTACGCAGCACTCCGCAGCCAAATCCCTTCATTGTCAGCTGAAGAGCTACAATCAGCATTCGAGGTGGCATATGCTCTACGATCTACACTCGAAGCTGCAGGTCACTCACATGAAGAGATTGTTGAGGGAGCAGAGCAAGTGACCAATGCTCTCATCGTCCAGTGGGTAGCTGAAGATCTGAACCAGAACAGCATCCAAAACAGAGAGAGTGCTGATGAAGCTCAAGAGGAGGAAGCATGTGAAGATGATGTAGAACTCTCCAGTTTAGCTGGAGACAGCCCGGGAGAGTAAGCGCAAGAGGAGTTGCTCCCCTGCAGCGTATGAGCTACTCAGTTTTTAAGTCTCCCTGAGTTGAGCTCGACTCACTTGCCACAGAGAGGAAAATAGCAACAGCCAGTTCGCAATCTTGCAAGATTCGAGTGCGGAATCATTCATCATAGCAATGATCAACTGAGGCTCTCAAGTGGAAGTGAGACCAGCCAGGATCACGAACCAGTCGGCAAAAGAGTGTAATGCCTCACATGAGGACGCCGCACAAAACCAGCAGAAATAATCTCAACAATAGTAGTTCAACCTCAGAAAGTAGACTCACTACTCGCAAAGCGAGTAATTCGCACCCGATCAGGACAAGAATCTTTTCGCTGCGTGTGAATGAAATGTTGTTGTTGTTGTTGTTGTTGCTGCTGCTGTTGTTGTTGTTGTTGTTGTTTGCTTTTTTGTTGGAAGGGTTTACACTTGAAAACGATGAAAAATGCTGAGAGCATGAAAACCGTGCAAAAAGTGAAAAATCATGAAACCCTATGAAAATTAAAAAATCACGAAAAGCGATGGAAACATATGCAATCATGAAAAATCATGAAAAGCATGACAAATGATTGTGAAGAATATGTAAATGATGCAATACGGTGAAACATCGTGTAAAATGAAGAAATTTTATGAAACTTATTGCAAATCATGGAAGATGAAAGATGATAGCAAATAATGCAACATGATGTATATGATGAAGAATTGTCAACATATTAAAAACATCAAAATGAAGAACAATGATGAAAATCATGTAGAAATGATGAAATGGTCTAAAATGAGTGGTCAAGCATGGACGGCCCTGAAAAAAGGCAAGGGGGCTTGGGGGGGGGGGCATGTGCAAACAAAATGATCTTTGTAGCCATCTCCCATGGTGATGACACGGCGCTTCTTTGACACGGAAAGCGTGGATTGCTTTACAAAAAAGGGTCGGGGGAGGGGCAGCCCCTCCCATGCGCAAACAACATGATCTGTTGAAGCATTCCTCACTGCAAACATACACACGGTACATGGTGATGACATGGTGCTACTTTGTTACAGCAAGCACGGATGGCCGTAAAAAAGGCGTGGGGGTGGAGGGAGGGGCGGCCCCCCCACCCCTCCTTGCAAACAACAAGGAAAAAGTTGATGAAAGATGATGGAAACTACTGAAAGACTAGGAAAACATATGAAAACCTATGAAGAGCATGGAAAATATGAGCAAGGATGGAAAACTCTTAAACAATATGAAGTTGATGGAAAGTTATTGAAAATGGTACAAGATATGGTAACTGCTGAAAGAGGATGGCAACATGAAGATGCTGAAAATGATGAAGAATTGTGACACATGCAGAAAGAAAGAAGCAAGAAGCAACAAAAAAAAACTCGGGAAGCTGAGCGCAGTCAACGAGAACCAGGGAGCTGAAACAGAGAGCAATGAGCACTCAGGAGATCGCAGGCAGCAAGAACCTGAAAGCAAAAAGCTGACAGCAAAAGTAAGAAGTAAGGAAAATCAGAAAGAGGAAGCAACAAGCAGATATTACAAAGCATAAGGCAAAAAGCGAGAAGCAAAACTCAGCAAGCAGAACCAGAGCAATAGGCAGCAAACAGGAGCAAGGACCCGTAAAACAGAAAAATGATACAACAATAAAGATTCTAAAATAAATGTATCCCCAATCTACGAGAGCTATTTATGCATTTCAGACACCTTGTCTGACGAAGCCATTGTCGAGGAAAACGTGATGGGATCTGCTCGCAGAGTCGAGTCCCTCCTTGGGATGATCCACGAGCAGAAAAACCACTGATGACACAGCCATGCAGCCAGGTAGCAGTCCCTGCAAAAGTGCAAGTGACATTTGCCAGCGACCACTCTTGCTGCTAGCCTTAGCAGTTAATCACATGTCCTGGGCCAAACAAACCAAGCACGGGCCTACATGAGTCTTCTGCGAGAACTGCGAGAACCTGCAGTTAAGCGGCTTGGATGGCAAGGTTGAAAATCAATGTGTCTCGTCTGGCATTTGTCTCTTCCATGAGGTGGAACAGGAGCAAAACCAGCTGCCACTCACCTGCAGTTACGTCTCAGGGGACAGGCTATCATGACCACATTCTTGATCAAAAGCTGTCCATGGCTATCTGCCAAAGCTCTCAGAAGCAAGTGGCACCTGCTTCCACGCAGGCACTCATGGAGGCGCTGTGTGTTATGGTGTTTGGCTGAAGCCTTGCACGACGTCAGGGAAAAGTTGTCAGAATGAACCAACTAACTTGCGCAGCAGGGCTTGCCTCTCGCGCTTCATTTGATGGAAGAGCCAAAGCGCCCACTGCCACTTGCCACTAGCTTTGCAGGCACTGATGCAGGCATTGTATGCCTTGCTTGCGCAGGCGATTAATGCAGTAATCTGATTGCTGGCCGCTGTAGGTAGGATGCGTTGCTGGAGCGCGGCATGGACTCCTGCTTTCAGCGATTGTAGATGCGCTGCTGCTCGATGCTGCTTACCTAAGTTGTCCTCCATTCGGCTCCAAAAGGCCAAGGCCAATCGCCAGTTCACTCCTGAGGAAAGCCGTAGACCCTCTGCTGAACGCCAGTGCGCTCGATCCGGAAAAAACCATGACACACGAAAGTACGACCGGATGAACCCTTGCCTGCTTTGCAAGCATCAATGGCTGCATTGTGGCCTCAGGACACTGCTACCTCCGGAATAATGACTACAAATCCGCCGAGACGATAGCGACACACTGAAGGCCATGACTCTGATTTGTAGTTCAAGTGGGTAGCTGCCGCAAAGCTGCTGACCACGTCATGGTGAACGGCCTGGCAAATGCCCAGCAGGCCACAGATTCGGCCGGATGCTAGGTGCTGTGATGTGCTCTGAATCCCACATCGGTCAACACTCCATTGAAATGAGCCACCAATCCAGGCATGTCCAAGAAGAGGTGTATGGCTAGCTGCCAGCGGCGTGCTCTCGCACAAGCCGTTATGGCTGCATTGAAGGAAACGGTGTCTGGCTGTGCCCTGAAGAGATTTCACGATTCAGAGGCGTTTGCAGCTTTGCGTGCTACACCAACTCCTGCAGTCTGGGAGCATGATCTGATTTGAGGCCATATCAACCAGGATTTGTGTGGCATGCCGCCATCTTTTGCCTTTTCCACACGCAGCTATAGCCATGTTGAAGCCTTGCGGGCACAAGAAACACCTGCAGCCCTGCGGAACATGGATCTTGATGTGCCAGGCAACAGGTTGTGTCTGGCGTCTCGCTCTGCTGCACCAAGTCTCCCAAGATTGCCCTTGCAGCGGCGTGCCAAACAGGAAGCCAAGCTGCAGATATGAAAAATCTGCATTGCTGGAAAACAATTCTAGTTTGTGAATGGGTAGGCTTTGCACAAAATCCGATCAGCCGAGTTGCAGTACCTGCTGCCAGTCACCAGCCCGCTTGGCGGCGCTGATAAGTTCTGGACCCCCCACGGAGTGAGCAGTGCCATTCATCTGATCGATATCAATTCCAAGGCAGAACGCTTGAGAAGCAACACTGCGGGAGGCAAAAGCAGGTCTTCTTTCAACTCGTTGGTCCGGTGGCAACTCAATGCAAGCCAAGCAGCTTGCACAGCGTAGAGTGGTGCAGCTGCGAGCACAACCGTGGAGGCACACCTCCCAGCTTTTGCAGGGACCGCTTGCTTGGCCTAAACACTTGCAAGCTGCCAAGAGAGCTCCACAAGGCGGCGGAGAGCCCAGTCATGCAAGGCTGGCCTCTGCAAGGAATACCACACGTTGCAGACAAAGTGGAAGCTCTGCATTCATCGGGCGCCGGCGGCACGAATGTCAAAGGCGACGGTGTCAGGTAGATCAGCATCTGCTTGCCTTTCACTGAGCTAACACCGGCTGGCCCGTTCGCGAGTCAGGAAGCTAATCCCTGCATCAGTTCTGCCAAGCTTCTGGTCAGGAGTCTCAGCAGCGCACACACCAGGAAAGGATGTGAGCACACCACAAAGTGTATCCTCTTTCGAGCAACTGCAAAGCTGCAAAACGAAGACTCGGACACTTGAATCGCCACAGTGGATCGCGGGCCTGGGTGTTAGATACCGCCCAACCAGTTCAGAGAGCCCATTCTGAAGACCAGCCCTGCAGCACCGCATTCTCATCATTCTCACATATTCCCATGTGTGAATGAGTCTGACGCAGACTTTGACAGCCAATCGCAGACCAGGCACACGAAGCCTTCTTTCAAGTGCTCCGTCTTCATCATGTTCCCCAAATCCTCACGGCAACTACAGGGTCACGGCTAGTGCTCCATACCCGTAGCACCGCGTGAGGTCTCTCTCTCCAGCCAGAGCGCATACAGCAGCCGCGCGGCATCGGAGCCGAAGCCTGTTGGCCCTGCGCCAGCGCAGCGCGAGGCCGGCAACTGAAGGCAGGGCAGCGAGGCGGTTGGATGCCTTGGCTTACCCGAGCCAGGAACATCTGCGAAATGACACGCACCCTGGCCCCATGAGAAAAGGAAATGTGGTATGGTACGAAGCATAACAAACGCAGAGCCACGCTGCATCACACCCAGGAACCAGCTTCGCAGTTGGACCTAAAAACGGGACGGCCTACGTCATGCATTAAAATGCAGCACCGAACAAGCTGTGCACATGCAATCGCATACTTTCTGGCTTGCTAGGTCAAAACAAATTTCCCTGGCTCCACAGAAGCCCTTTCCAGATTCCGCTTCGGAACCATTCCTGCCACCGAGAAGCTCCAAAACCTGCCACGGGGCCAAAGGCGGTGCACATCTCTGATTTCTGGGTTGGCTCTTTGTAGTCTCACATGCGTGGTTCGCCCTAGCCCTGGCAATACATCTGCTAGATGCACCCTTGGCTACCAGCTGAGAACAAACTGGAGGATCTGGAGGGAGAGGGAGGAGATTGACTTCAAGCTCCGGGGCCTTGCAATCGCTCACGAATGCTAGCCATCGGCTCAATCACTGCAGCATGTGTGCTGATGGCAGCCACTGTGATGTTTGAGACACCAAGCAGCGCCGAGACCTGGATGGCAATGCAAGCGTAATTCTACCAGAACGAAAACATCTACAATCTGGACTTGTGGCAGGGTGGTTCGACTCTAAATTGCTCAATGTGTCTAAGAGCCCAACTGGGTTGCGCCAGCTGCTCGATACCCAGGCTGCCGCAAAAGGCTGCAACCAGGCCGGCGCCCTCCACAGCATCAGCACTGACTTCACACTCAAGCCCCACACAACCCAACATTCAAATGAGGAACAGCCCTTGCCCCTTGTCTCTCTCTCCCGCGTGCCCACGGAGCTCCCGGTAGGCGGCCAAAACAGTGCGGAGCTCCTCTGCCATAGCATCTCGTTCCTGAGGGCTCGCATCCTTATTGTGGTCTGGGTGTAACTTCATGGCTTGGCGCCGAAAAGCGGCTTGCGCCTGCCCAAGGCTGCACCCCAGCTCGAGCCCAAGAACTTCAAGTGCCTGCGCAGCTCGCGGGTCCACCAGGAGCTGCTCTGACGTGCCATCACTTTGAGCGCTTTCTGGCTGCTTCGCAGCTCGCCCTGTTTCACTTCTTGGTACCTTCCCCATCTGTCTGGATGCGGCCGCTTGCTCCCAGGACTGGACATCACTACCGAAGTTCGCAGCATGTTGCGAGGCTCTGTCATCCGCAGAATGGTCCAACCACCAGTTGCGCCACACTGGCAGCCAGCGTGCCACCACCAAACCTGCCAAGGATCCTACAGCCGCAACTGTAAAAGCAGCCGGTCCAGCCAGGATGGTCACTTCAGCCATGTGTGCCACGGCCACGCTTCCCAGCAGGCCGGCTCCAAGCCCAAGGACTGCAGACTTGACCTGGGAATATGTCAGCTCGCCAGACACCTGGCCTGTGGCAGCGCTGACAAATCGTCTCAAGCGTCTCTCGCCGTACTGCGTTATGAGAACATAAGCTGGAAGGTATACAGATCGAACCCGGTATTCCGACACATCAACATTACAGAGCGTGATCCGTTGTACATGGCTGCATCCCGGGTGTGTGCGACGCATCTCCCTCTCCACTAAGTCGACAAGCCCGGCCTCAATACGTGAACGTGCCTCAGACCTCGTTCCCTCCACACTCAGACGAAAAGGGTCCAGGCTTGGTTCTTCCTTGAGATCCAGGGCAGCCGCAGTGAAAGGGCGGGCCTCTCCTAAGGCCAGGCCCGTCACAGAACGCAGCAATGCTTCCGGATACAGAAAATCGGCATAGATCTGCATGCTGGCGTCGCCCCCTCTTCCGTCAAAACTGACGCGTTCTAATGACCCTCGTACCCAGAAGTAGTCCGTGGAGGATCCTGTGTGACTCTTACCGTCGCTTGAAATGACATGTCTTGTGTGCGTGTACCCCACTTGGCCACTGTACGTGGCACTTGCTACGGCATTCACAACCCTGAACGGCAGGAAGACGGCTTGCATACCGCAGTCAGGGCGCCAGGCAACCAGAGCTGTGGATGTTGCTGCCAGCTGCTCACTAGACAATGGTGCCATCCAACGGCCTTGCTCATGCTTGGACAAAGCTCGTAATGCATCCTCCTGTGTCAGGCGGAAGGGCACTACGAGAAGCCTGGAGCCACTGGACCGGTCTGACCTGGAGAATCTATCACGTCCTCCACGGTTTTGTCGTGAGCTGATGCCGCGGACATGCTCTTGCAACCTTGCAGATCTGCCCGTGACAACAGGTATGGCCTTGGATGGGGGCAAGTGCGGAACTTTCCAATTCGCAAGGTCAAGACCCACAATTGTCCGCGACCTCGCGGCTCTTTGCGCACAAAATAACACAGACATTTTCAGCCGAAAAGGCTTTCAAAATGGTTCTTCACTTGGCTTGTCAGGATGATTTTGAGCCCAAGCGATGGGAACTGCAACTTCGGCTACTCCCCCACTTCTGCAAGCCTCTACTGGCCTCTGGAATGTTGCCAAGCTTGACACGTCATGGGTGGATATGGATATGCATAGCACCAGCGACGGTAGAAGTGTTAAGGCGATTTGCCCCGACAAGGCCTTGGAGACGGATATGTCTTGACATCATCGATCAAGATGGTCAAGTCCTGTCTGATTCACGTCCTTTTCCATGCTCCAAGTCTAGCCACTAACTCGTCTTGAAAAAGCTACAACTCACAACACCGTTTCAACACCGTTTCAACCCAATCCATCCAAGCACGTTCAATTCCATGGCTTGCATTAAATTGAAACCTTGCAGGTGCGGCAGACAAATGGCCCTCCCGCCGTGAATGTGAATGAAGCCCATGGGTCTAGACAACTCCACAGGACGAACAAGGCACCTTCCAGTAGAAACCCTGGAGTTTTCTTCTGCTTGCACACCTGCCCTCATGCGCATCTCCTCCAGACTTAGGAGGCGAGACCAGCGCGAACTGCTCAGGCCGTCATGGTGCACTACCTTTCCAACACAGCTGGGGGTGCAGCCTATCAAGGTTGCACTCTCTGCCTGAAAAGTTTCCAGAGTCTTCAATGTGACCATTCTGAAACGCGCTTAGGGCCAGGGATGGACCGGACTTCTGGTCCGGTAGTTGAGCTGAATTCTTGTAGACTAGGCTGTGATTTGTCAGATGCTCCGCCTGGCAGGTCTCCCACGACAACAAAAGTAAAGTCCTGGGTTACGAAAACTTCCAAATTGCCTTCTTTGCCGGGGCCACAAGCAGCTGGAACGCCTTCTCCTGGGTTGGGCCATGGCCGATGGCCGTGGTCGGGCAACGTTACACGCACGTGAGGTCCGGGATGTGTACTACAACTAGGCGCTGTGTTTGTTTGTGGGGGCTGATAGGATTCCTGACACAGACTACATAGCTCTCGGCAGAAATCCTTCCAGAACTGTCAATTATCTGGCAGGCCACCAGTTGCTCACGGCGCATCGCAGGCACCGTAAGGCGCAGTGCCTGACGCTGCAAGACCAGGGACCGTCCGAGGCGCAGGGAGCACCATGCACGAAAATGTGGAGCCATGGCAACATCGCACCATGCAAGAGGCTGACAAGGTCGGAAAGAGCATGTCAGCAGTCACTGCAATCATTGGGTAAGAACCGCTTCTCAACAGCCGGATCATGCCAGCGATTATTCGGTGATGACCCAGCCACCACACACCACCCACTATCCACCACCAACTAGACCAAGACATTGTCAATGTCTGTTGCAGACACTGCAGGGCTTCACACAGCCCTTGGGGCTTTTGAACGGCCCTTGTGCCTTCACAGAACTTAGATTTGGCAGGCGGTCACTGTGTAGGCCTTGTAGCAGCGCAGGACTTGAGCCCCGAAGTGGCAGTAACCAAGGAGGTCATTTGGGTGTCCCTCTGCAAAGACCACCTGCACCAGCGGACGGTCAAGCCTTGCGCAGCTGACAACAGTTGCAGCCTGGTAGAAGCGGGCAGCTGCGAACTCCTCGTCCTTCCAAGATGGAGATAAGCAGCAACAGAGCCTACACGAGAGATTGGAGCCGCCTGTGCTGGAGGAAGTTGTTCTTCCATCCGCCTGGGTCTTCAGAGTGCAGCTACCTCAAGACTGGCATTGCAACCTACCGTGCTTTTGTTTGAAGGCAAGCAGCTGCAGCGGCAGCCGGTCCGCAGCTGCTGCGGCAAAGGAGCCTCGCAGGGGATGAAAAACGAGTCTGACGTAGTTTAGCAGCCTAGCAATTGCTTGGGCAGCACAGCATGGCCAGCTGCCTGAGGCTGCCGCTGCCTCCTCACATCAAATGCATGAAGTCGGATGCTGGTCGCTAGTCGGGGCTGGTAAGCAGATTTGGGTTCAGGTTTGAAGCCGGGAGGGGGGGAGGGAGGCAAATGAAAGTCACGAGCTCATTTGTCCAAGTGCACTGCAAGCTAAGCTTTGAAGACATGTTTGAGGAGCATATGCGGCCTGACGAGATCCTCACTGTCATTAGCCTGCGCCTGCAACTGCTGCAGCATGTACGATCTCGCCCGCACCGCAAGATGCTTCTGGATATGTCAGACACAGCCGCAAACAGGACGTAGTCGCGTTTGGATAATTGCTTGGTATTGATTGCTTCATGTTTGCGATCCGCGTGCTGGCTGGCTTGACATGCCTTTGGCCGCAAGTCAGGCAACACTTTGCAGTGACATTTGAGAGATCTAGGTTGGAACAGGTTGCGAGCTTTGTGCAACTCCGCACCAGTGTTCAGTCCATCTCGTTGACCGCCACGGTCAAAAAGGCACCTGCATCGCGTGTGGTCACCGAGTGCAAATTGCAAGCAAGCTACTTCACAAACGCATAAGTAGCATGTAAGAGTTACGGGTCCAGGCTGGTGCATGCTCGCAACAGGAATCCAAAACTCTTTTACCGGTGGTCCCACACTTGATGAATTGTCCTTGCAGGTGGCAGCCTTTCTTGTTCTTGCCAGGCATGGCCTTGGCGAGGGCGACTGGATCAGGATTGGAACGGCCAGTGGCTTAGGGAATGACCACCCCCAGCACCAAACAGTCCTAGATGCAGTGTTGATCCACTCGTTCATGGCTCCAAAAAGAGGAGGTTCGAAAAAAGCACCCTCATATTCGCATGTAGGCAAGTCGCCTTGCCCTTCTCATCAACCAATTTCAAGGTGCCTGCTGATTGCAAGTTGTCACGGCGCCGTGCGGAGAGGAAGGGGACAACTAGTACACTACAGGAAGGACTCTTGTGCGCGAACGCCAAGTGGTCAAGACGCCTTTGAAGTCCTGAAGGATGTCCTCGGTCAGCGGAACTGGCACCGTTGCGAGCATGTCTCATGCTTCGCATAGCCGCTGCTATTTCTGACAGCCAAGGGTCGTCAAAGCGCAGCGTGCACTTCCCAAGGAAGTCGTCAGACTTGCCCGTGTCCTCGTCGTAGACGGTGAAGTCTATTGAATCCTCAGCATTAGAACATCAACCGTAAGAGAGTCCCTCGCCCACCCAATGCATCAGCAACAGCTGCATTGGAAGAGGGACAAATCTTCCTTGGTCCCAGCCAACCTGCCATGCTTAGCCAAGGCTCCCCGTGCTTGACCTGGATCTTCTCCACATGATTCCACTTCACTTCCTCTGCACCTGAGACAGCCGCCCATGGTTTCGCATAATGCGTGACACTTCGGCACACACAAATAGAGCTGGCTGGAAGCTGGGATTACAAAACCGAGTCTCGGATGTTCCCCAAGGTTGCAGTACGGAACTCTCCCTTGCCCTGGCAGCTCAGGGAGCTGACATGAACTGACGCTGCCCCACGGGCATGATGTGCTTTGGCAAGCTTTGGCAGGTTTCAGCCTTTTTTGATCTTGCAAGGACTGAGAGCTGAGTCTCGGCTCTGCGCCTTGAAACTCCAAACTGGAGCAGCCTCTGGACCGGGAATCATGTTTCGGACATTGGCACCGGCGCAAGAAAGTTGGTGGAGACCTTGGCGAACAGGTGCTCCCCGTAGATGAGGGTCCCACCTCCAAGACCTCTTTGGAGAGGCTTCGTACTCGCAACTACAGAGGCGGGCGGAGGGTCGCAACCAGACTGCCCACAGCTCACGTCCAGCGGCTTGATGACCTGATCTCTAGCTGCTGCACAACAGACAAGCCAGGTCCCCGCGCTGCCCCATCACCCAATCAACGAAACGGACGCACCTTGAAGCAACCCAACTGCTCATGGCAGAAAAAATGCCTAAGGGCCTATAACACCATTAAAGCGCCGAGCAGCCGCATCAAAATTCGGCTCATGGAAATAGGCGATGGATGTCCTTGCGAAATGCTTGCTTCAAGACTGATATCATCACTCCTGAACCGAGAGAGGATCAACACATGGCAGTCCGAAATTTGCGAGACGTCTGCCGGACACGGTGCCGCGTCGCCACATAGCGCCCTTTAGTCCAAACACCTTGGTTGCAAGGAGAGGGCGGTCAAAGAAGCGCATTTCACATCTTCAGGTCTCGGTGTGCTCACCCTCTTCCCTGACATCTTACTCACGACCTCTCATGCCTAAGTTCCCATTAATCCGACTTCTACCTGTTGCCCACACATTGCAAGGGATTCAGTTTATCAGCTGGTCAAGAAAGCTGCACCCAGGGCCAGGGCTAATCACAGGCAGACGGCTCAGCATGTCTCCCAAGTTGATGACGAAGGCCCCGGCTCTCGGCTGCACCTTCACCCAGCCACCCCGGAGTTGCACCTCAAGCGCATCCGGGGTATCGTCCTGACAAAAAAATTTGCCACAGCGAATGATGATGGCAACATCAAAACGATGGCTATGGTGCGTCAAGCATCAAAAAACAAATGGAGCCTGGGACAAGATGGTCCAGCAGCCATAGTCTGAGTGCTCACCGCAGGATAAGCCGACTGCCTCGGGGCCCTCTGCCAGTGGTGGGTAGCCAATTACCCGGGCGCACCAAAAGCTGCGGTTCGTAAGTTCCCGGAAATAGGCTTCCGGCAAGCCCATTGCCACAGCCATCGCCTAAGGCAGTGCACATCTGCCCCATGCTCAACTGGCTTCTGTTGTCTCAGCATGTCTCAGCATGTCTCAGCGTCAGGCCTAGCGACATCCATCAGGCCATTGCCCACCCGCTGCATTTGCTCGAAATACGCTTCCACGTGCCTCTGGAATCCAACTGGCTCGCTGGGCCAGAGGTTGCGACCATGCACAAAAGCGCGGACTTCCTCCAGCTGGCTCGCATGCATGTTGGCCGGCGAGGCGATAAAGCTGCCAAGGTCCACTTCACTTGGACTGGGTTCAGCGTAAAAGTCGATGGCTTCATGCCAGTCGCGCTTTTTTTGCGTCACGTTTTCCCCCAACCTCAGGGAAAGACCGCATGCCTTTGCGCCGCATGGCTTTGGGTGCTGTCACATGCTCCAGGCCTCTGGTAGCCACGCGCTGTGAAGGACTTTGTTGACAAAGCTACGGCTTCCTGGCAAGAGGTTTGCTGATGCCTGCTCCCCACCTAGGAAGATGATTCGGTCCTTGGATGCGGCGGGAAGGGTGAAGAACTCCTTGGCGAGATGGTGCATCTGCTGTTGACTTTCAGCTGGCACGCCATGGCCCTCCAAATAGAAGAAACCAACGCTACCTCAGCGCATCTCACAGATTTCAATGCTTTAAACACAAGCAGGTTTAGCAAAATGTTTGAACACTAGATTCGGCTCAGCCTGCACAACTTCTTCCACACATCCTCTGCTTCCCGCTGCAAAAAAGGGGCGGCAAGCGTCGTCAAGGCTCCGGGCAGCTTTACTCCGAAGATGGGGACTGCCCTGCGGAGGAAATCTCTGAATTCCATGGATCAAATAGAAGCCGGAAATCAGAACCTACTCTTTCTGTGGTTTTCTTGAATTTGATCCAAAAAAATTGGGCTCAATATTCAGCTTTTGCATCAAGAACTCTTGATGTTGCCGCGCTTTGCGAAATGGGGTTTGCGGATTAGTAGACTATTGGGATCTCCTCGGCCTCTTCCAGGAAGGGCGCCAGGTTGACCACTGGCAGAGAGGAGAAACTACGACCTTGAGGGGCATTCAAAGGTTCAGCACTGTTCCGCTCGCCATGAAAGGGTATAGCAAACAGAAGCCAGAGCTGTTTAGGTGCATTCCGCATGAATGCACGCGCGCTTACCTTCCCCACGCCCGCGCCTGCATGCAGAAGCCGATGCCGGCTGCGGCAAAAGACCGACATGGCCAGTTATGACAGCTTCTACAGTTTCAATGTCTGTTGAAGGTTCTCAGCTGGGATGAGCAGTCCAGGGAGTCTGTTTCGTCTCTTGGACTGCTAAGTGACTACCATCAGCTTGTAGTGTCGGATGTCGATAAAGCCACCCTGCCTCGAAGCCCTGCACCAGCACATGTACACTGCATCGGGGAGTGCTGATTTTGATCAGTCTTCATCACAGATCCCAACAAAAGATTTGACCAGTCAAAGGCTACAATGGCTGCAATGCCCAGCCAAAAGACAGGCCAGGCTAGCCTTGCCCGAGACCGTGCACTTCACGTATGGATCAGATGTTCCTGTGAACCAGTCCTTGTGGAGATCGGAGTGCTCACAAAATCAACTTGATAAGAGACGGGGCGTCCTTAAATTACGGCCAAGTCTCAGCATCGCGAAGCCCCTTCGCCGCCAGAACGGTGACCTCCACTGTGTAAACCTAGCAGTGGCATCCGACCGGGAATTGCACTGCTTCAACGTTGTGTGCAAGATCTCTAGAATCGCCCTGACCTCTTTTGGCTTTGCAGGTTCGGTCACCTGCCAGCAACTTCTCTGACTTAGATGCTCATTTGGATATCCCGAGGCGGACTGCCAGCTGACAACCTATGTCCTATGTAGGTGCGTGAGATGCTTGGGGCAGCAGTGAAACTCTTGAGAATCTGACATCATGTGAATTGAAAGCCAGGGTAAGCCAAATCACACAAGCTGACTGCAAAAGCTCAAGACCCACAGCCTTGGCTTTTGCCTTGGGCTTCGGTGTAGGTCCTTGGCGGAGAGCTGGACCGGCTGCAGGAGGCAGGCCTCATTCTCAAGACACTGATGGTCGGACCCATGGATCCTCAACAACTTGCTGAGCCGCAGCAAGATTCAAAGAGAAAGGCATCTGGCAAGTGGTCTGCCAAGCAGCTGAATCTCCTAGCTTTTGCCACCCCGTTGGCTGTCAAAGCTGTCCTCAGCTCAAAAAGAAACTGGCGCAAGTACAATACGAAATATCAACACAGTCAGGCAGCCGTTTTCGGAACTCCAAATCCTGCTGCTCAACACTGGCCCGCGCAACCTCACGCAAACTTGAGGTGTGGCCTCATCAAGCTCAACGACCAGTGGGACGCCGGGAAGAATGTCGTATTCGAGTGCCTGCAGAGAGCATGCCTTCCCAATCTTGCAGTCAAAAAGCGCCCAAAGACCAGAGCCTCTGCATCGGTGTCGTCCTCCAAAGCCTGACAAATTGCCTGGGAGAAGCAGATGCTGCTGGACTCTTGAAACGCCTTGCAACTATGACCCAGGGCTCTATTCGCAAGAACCCTGGACGTCACAAACTCTGCTCCCACACATTGTAACTCTGATATTGTTGCTGAGCAGCACGAACCGAGCCCTCATGTGCAACTACCAGCGGCGTTTTCCCGCCCAGAAGAAAGGGTGCTATGGCATCCTTAGCTCGGGCTGCTTGACTGATCCATCTCCGCACGACATGGGCTATGATGGGATTTCAGTTCACTGTTGAAGCCACGGATCATGCCAGAATGGCAGAGTGCGGTCCACCACCATCCTGGAGTGCTGCACCCATCCCACGCCGCGTTGTTATGATCGAACCTAAATCTTCCAGAGTAAGCCAAGTAGCTGCATTGACTCCGACCCAGGCTGCGTGCTCGCAGGGACTCCCCTGCCAGAAGTCGTGGGCCAGAGACATGTGCATTTGCAACGGAAGCTGCTATCGTTTATAGAGTACACTGTGCTACTTGCGGATTAGTCTTTCCTGGATCGCAGGAACGTCTGTTGTCACAACATGACGTGAAATCCTCTCTAGCGCCTACTGCTGGAAAGATGTTGTGGCCAGTCCTGTACAGGGGGTCATTGCAGGGATGTTGGGCATCGGAGCGGCCCACAGCTGGAGGCGCAGCCTGGCAACATGCTTTGGCGTGAGCAACTTCTGGGACATGTGCAGGCGTTCTGTGTGACATCTCCGCTTCTTCTGCTGTTGCTGCTTCTACAAACTGGGACTCTTGCTCTTGAAAGTCATACAATGTCTCTGCCTTGATGTCCTCTTCAGCTGGCGGCTTTCCCTTGCCCTGGTAAATCCCCCAGTGGCGGTCGTTGAGGCGGAAGTTCTGGAAATGCCTGTGCTGTGAATCTAAACACGCAGACGTCCTAGGCCACAACTGGCCCGCGTACATGATAGCCTTGCAGCCAGGAGGCGGCAACGCCACGCGATCGCCCTCCATCAGGGCCAGCCATCCCGTGCAGATGGCCTGGCTCAGGAAGGCAAAATCACCCCTGGAGTGCAATCTCATCAAGATACTGCGGTCAGAGGCTTAGAGCAGCACCCCAAGCCTGTTTCTGAACAGATGTGAAGAGCGCGTCAAACGCGAAGCCAGCCTCATTCCTCAGCCCGCTGGTCGAAGCCATCTCAAGCATGAAGACTGGTCAATAAGTAGTCCATACACACAAATGCGTTCTTGATGCAGCAAGTCTCAGGAGCTTGCCGGCCTGTTGATGCAACAAATGCTTGCTTCAGCAGCAGAGACGTACTTTCACTCTGCCGCAGCTTTGCCGGAACCCTCCATGCCTGCTGAGCTTGCTCCTGACCTTTGGTGCTCAGCCCGTCTTGGGCCCAGCCGGCATGTGCGCCCTTGGCTGGTGCTTCTCACTTTTGTTGCGGAAGTCTCTGCGGTGCAGTTGTCCACCGAGCCTCAGGCTGAAACAAACCCTGCTTAAGCTCCCTGCTTTTGCCTGCAGCTCTGTCTCGGCACAGGGCAGCAAGACCTTGCGATGCTGCTTTCGCATGCCAGACATGCCAATATCATTTTTGCCGCTGCATTCAAGCTGCAACCTTCTTCACTGCCATGGCCGCTGGGACCATACATCGGCATGTGAGATGCTGCTGAAGCCGAGATGCCACCCATACGCACACAAATGCGCAGGCATGGGCATAAACGCAAAAAATCAAGCTACAATGAATATAGCATCACATAGCATGACACCTGCCTGACCATACTGCGCAGCCCACTCGTCGCCCTGCTGAACGGTCCTCCCAAACCTCGAAGGCCTCGTCCCAAACCGGGGAGAATCGGGCACCACGGCAATCCTGAGCAAAGAACATTCTGCGCGGAAATCCAGAAGCTTCCCTGAACCAAGACACGGACAACTTCACCGGTAAGATTTTCTGAAAAGGGTCGAGCCATGAAATGGCCAAGGCCGCATAGGGCATGGCGCCATGGCTCTGATCAAACTAGAGGCCGCGTGTCTGCGGTACTGGAACTGTTGACATGTGGGATATGGAGGAATTCAATTCCCCAATTGCTGGCACCGTACGCTCGCCAGTAGCGCAATTGATCACCAAAGTTGCATCTGTAGCTGACAGAGATCGCATGTGCTGGAAGCCGAGGCCAGGAATGAATAGGTGTGTTTGTTGCAGCAAGGATTGCACCCTACTACATTCGAATGCAGCCACGAGGAAGCCAAGATTCCAGCACAATGGGTAAACCAGGTCAGTGCACAAGGAATGACACGCCAAGCAAAAAGTCCAGCACCTTTGCTCAACTATCCGGCCTCAACCATGTCCTCCAACACCTGCCACAATGCGTGAAATTGCCAATGTTCAGTCATTAGCTTAACTATGCCTTTCAGGCCTCCTCTCCATCATGCAACATCAGCAGGAGCTCCCCAAATGCTTGCACGAAAGGGTGTCGAGAGACAATGCCTTGCGCAACTAAGCATTGAAGAAGCATCGGGTGCCGCTGGGCGCCGTGTGCGCAATCGCCGAGTGCTGGGCAGTAGGCAAATCGACGGCCCTCCTATGCAAACTGCGCTGCAAGCTTCAGGCTGATACCAGGGACAGATTGCCATTCCGAACCAGGCAGGAAGCTGGCCTCAAGGAAGCGAACCGCTGTGCAGTAGAGAAAGTCCTGACGTCTGGATGAGGTAGAACACGGTAGCAGTAAGTTAGGAGCATACAAGTCTTCCAGCAAACAAGGAGCAGCGACTCTTTTTTCCTCGCTGAGTGGTCAATCAAAAAGTGGTTTTGAAAGGTTGCCTCATCTTTCCTGGTCCAAACCTTCCATATCTACAGTCAATGTACTCGATCTCTACTCACGAGGAATACCGGCCTGTGCAAGCACCATTCGGTTCCCGAGCGGCACCCGAAAAACAGATCGGTTGAAGAAGCCAAAGATCACTTGGCTGCCCCGGCGAATTGCTGCTGTTGATGCAGGGCTCTGGAAAAACCCGCATTCAGCGAACTCTCATGATCAAACAAAGCAAAAACAACTTGAGACATACCAAAGGGAGAGCAGATTGCTTAACTACGGGGCATTGCAGAGTGAATGGGGTGATAGTGCGGGCCGATGGTCACAGATGGCCAGGGCCAGCAGAACTACGCCGGTTTCCCGACATCAAATTGTGGACACAGACGGGTTCAAGCACTAAAAGCCGGCTACTTGGAACTCCAAGCAGCACTCACAAACAACCCGCTGGCCCGGTCTCTTCACGTGGCGGGGTACTTCCGCATGGCTGGGATCACAGCCAGAATGCCTCACCTTGGATGCGACGGAGCAAATCTGAACCATCTGCGTCATCAAGTAGATTCAAGTTCTTAAGCGCTTTCATTAGTTTCTCAGTAACCAAGTCACTCTTCGGGCTGGTGGGCTCGCTGCAGGGCTCGACATCTTCATCTGGCGGTGATGTGGATGGGCTCGAAGTGTCTTTCTCCCTGAGAATCTCACCAACCTGCTTCGGGCCTCCCGGCATTGACAAGCCAGGAGGTGGCCCCAGAATGATCCCGGTAGTCTTCGTGGTGTCGGGTTTGCGAGTGTCCGAGGTAAGCTCCTTGGAAAGCATGGGGGGCATGCTGAGAGTCGGCACAAGTCCAAGCTCCAAGCTTTGCTTGAGCCCACGCGCTGGAGTGTAGCCATGGACGCGTCCAGTTGTACTTGCCCATGGGCCGATGTTCCCAAAAGGGCTGCAAGGGCTGAGCGGGCTGCGAGGGCTCAGCGGAGCTGTGAGGGCACTGCGCGGGCTCAGGGGTGCCATCGGGCTGAGATTGCCAACTTGAATCTTCATGGGCTCCATCTCGTCGTTGCGTGTCTCTGCCTTCGGCAAGCTGCGGAGCTCGTTCTTCCCGTGGGCAAACTTGCAGTCGTCACCTTTCTTGCACCGACCTTTGGACGAGAACTGGAAGCACAGTCGCGTGGCAACCAAGTCTGGCTGGTCTCGCAGCTCGAGCTCCGAGTGTGCGAAGTTGCAGTCCTGGCCCAGCTTGCACCGATTGGAGCTCCAGTACTTGCAAATGCGCGTGTACTTCAGGGAGTCGCGGACCTGCGGCGTGCTCATCGTGGATGCAAGTGGAAGGGGCGTTCTACACAGGCAAACTCCAGACTTGAGACGAACTGCGAGCCGGTGAGTCTGGAACATCTCAAATCCCCCTTTCTATACCCTGCACAAAGTCGCAGGCTCTAGACTCTAGATTGAAACTCAATAAAGACATATGGGTCGGATCGCTGGCCATGCCAAAGACCATAGCCAGAGAGATGTCTTTCAAGGCTAAGCAAGGCAGGCTCATCTCAGCGGCAATTTGCAGGGACATGCTCGCGACCCATCAGTGCAGCATGTTGGTTGTGCAACGAGGAAGTAACGACCCCGTTCTTGGAATCACATATGCAGTGAGGAGGCTAGTCCTGCACTCTTGACAAAGATGACTGGCTAGATTTGTTGGACAGGCAAGCGACTGACCATCGACCGTACAACTACCGGAGCGAGCCACTCACGCTTTATCAATAGCCAACAATGCCGTCAATTTGAAACACTGTGAGCATCACAGTCTTGCAGCAAAAAGAGGACAACTTGTGAGATCTAAACTCTTGAGAAAAGGGCGACGAAAGCTAGAGGAAGCGGTGGAAAGCGGAATTCTTCGAGATCTTTTAGGGGGGGGGAAGGCCGGGGAAGGGGGCTTGCCAATCTGTATGGAGGGAGGGCCCACCGCACAGACCTTAACAATTGATTAAACACCTTAAGAATACTTAGACAATTGAACCGCAGCCAGGCTTTCACCAACCTAGAAAATCTGTACATGAGAACTACCGCAAGCTCGAAGAGAGTTAGCACTCCACCCCCCGGTCAATTCACGATGCGAACTTGTTGCGCAAAAAAAGGTCATTAAGCCCAAGGCCTGGGTTTTGCTGGGACCTATTAATCAACTTCATCCAGTACTAGCCCAAGGTAGCATGCGGAAATGTTTCTTTGACTCAGAACTGAGCATCACTTCGCGGTGCCCGCGGCTGTACGCTATTTTGTGGGTGCTTTGCACAAGAGAGGCACTGACTCATGTGCCTACAAACCTGACCGCGACGCACATCATCGTCCTGGGCAGGCTTTGCCTGCATCATTGGCCTTTGCAAGCCAGCTGTGCATAGATGCGCGCGGGCTAGGGGAACCTGCTTGGCATTGTGCCAATACTGGTCAACCACAAA